AAAAAATCGACATTATTTCACAGTCAGCTTTATTTTATATCCTGTGCATAGATGCACCTGGTTTCTCTCTTAAGAAAGTAAGAAATAGCCTTACTGCCACTTGAGGAACGCCCAGGTCTTCTCATCGCTTCTCAATTTTTATTTTACTTTTCTTTGTTTTGAAACAAAATATATGGTTTTTTTCTTTCCATTTTTGTGTTGCTGGAGATGAGACCAAGGGTCTGCTCGTGCTGGACGAGTACACGGCCGCTGAGCTGCAGGCTCAGCCCTCTGCTTGTCTTCATAGCACGTAGCATTGATGTCATGAGTTTCTTGAGGATTTTGCAAACAAGTTAGGAGCACAGGTACACAGTGTTCTGTGGTGCTTCAGCTCTTGGGGGTTTGTGTGTGTGGTGCTGAGGACTGAACCCAGACCCTTCACGTACTCCGTATGTCACATGCCTGACGTGAACAACAGAATTTCCAGGCTTGTCATGTCTAACATGAGCGGAGTTTCTGGTCACTTCCAGGTGTGATTATACACATGCGGGTCCCACCACTGGGGAGGGTGAGGCGAAAGGGTTATGAGTTTGAGGCCAGCCTGGGCTATATAATGAGACTATCTCAAAAGTTCAAGGGCTGTCAATATAATTACCTAATGCACTCAGAGCTGGGCTGGGCCCCTGGCAGTGTATAGATAAGTATATACATACGTACTTACTTAGATGTTGAACCAGAAGTCCATGGTCGTAACTGCTCACCATATTCTTCATAATGAAGGAGAAACTGTTAAGAAAGAAGAAAATCAGAAGTCGTCTTGGAGATTTTCCTGAGAAGTTACCCCTTGGGGCTCTGCCAGTCACTGAGATCTAATGGATCTCACGCTGCTGACCCCAGATTCTGTCCGCTTAGCTGTCCATCTTCCATCCAGTGCATATGGTCTAGCTCATGTATTCATGCTACTTGGGAAAACTCGTGACTACCAGCGGCTCCAGTGTAAGGGAGTCTGAGATCACGGAAAGTACAGGGATTGGGCCCAGGGCCTATCCCAGGCAGAGACCCACTCTACCACTTAACTGCACTCTCAGCCCTAGATTGCATTTGCTTAAAAACTTGACCCCCTTTTTGTATATGTGTGGTTTGGTTTTTTGAGACAGGCTCTCGTGGTGTAGCCCTGGTGGGAGCCCTGGTGTAGCCCTGGCTTGGGACTTGATATATAGACTAGACTGACCTTGACGTCATGACGGTAGCTCTAGCCTATGCTTCTTGATTACACCCCCATGCCCAGCTAAGCCAGCTTCTGACCGGCGGGCTTGGGAAAAGACTTTTGTATCTGTTTCCTCCGGACTGTTTCCTAGTTGGACTTTTTTATAGGTCTGAAGGTGTAGATTAACTTCAAAGCCTGATTTTTTTGGATTGCTCTTAGGTGAAGATAATAGACAGTTTATCTGTCCCCTGTGGAACAGCGTTAGCATAATACATGGTACATCCTTTTATCCTAACTCTTTGATTCATGTCATACTAAAGGGCAAAGACATCCACAAAATCAAATGGAAGGTGCTTGGGATATAAAGAACTGTGGTGGTTTTGGTTTTTTTTTTTTATTTTATTTAAAATGTATAGCTGAGGCCAGGGTGATGGCTCAGCATTATGAACATTCACTGTTCTTGCAGAGGACCTGGTTTCAGTTCCCAGCACCCACATGGCAGCTCATAGCTGCCTTTAACTCCAGTACCAGGGGATCTAACACCCTCTTCCGGCTTCCAAAGGCTCCTGCATGCACGTATTGTACACTAACTCACACAGGTACACACACACACACAAGAGTGATCTTCACAGATATGGAGGTGGAAGAGTAACCACAGCCCGAGTGCTGACGCGGGTGACGCTGTTACCAGTGTAACTCAGAGCGTCTCTCTCTCTCTCTCTCTCTCTCACCCCCTCCCCCCCCGTTTAGGCCTGTCTCCTCCTTCCTACACATTCCCAGCTCCTGCAACCGTGATCCCTACCGAAGCTGCCATTTATCAGCCGTCTGTGCTCTTCAGTCCCCGGGCGCTGCAGCCCTCTACCGCATACTACCCAGCAGGCACTCAGCTCTTCATGAACTACACAGCCTACTACCCCAGGTAAGGCTCTGCAGGAAGTGACAGCAGGGACAGAGACAAAGGACTCCTTTGACAACCAGTCTGAGCTCACAAAAGAATATTGTCTCCCTCCCTGAAGGTTAGCGTGGCCGACCACAGCTTCCGGTCACATCTCTGGCCAATAGGTTGTTTTAAGACAGACTCGAGAGGTTTATTACTTATTTTGCAGTGTGTGACTAGCGGTCTCTAGGTTGCCCATGAGTTCAGCTCTCCGCTTTCACCTCCTGTCGTTTGGACTGCACTTGGGTATTAGCCCTTTGTTCATTATGATTGGGTGGTAACTACATAGAAATGAATCACGAAACAGAATAACTCATAATAGGAGCGACTGTATTTTTTTTTAAGCTTGAATGTTAGCCCATAATAAATGCAGTTGCTATAAATATCCCAATACTTGTATTTATTGCTCCTTAAATACATACTGTGAACAAATCCGGACTAAAATTGATCTGTATCTCCCTGGGATTTGCACTGCTGCTTTTCCCCTGGAGGCAGTTAGTTCCTGGGAGGTGGACCTGTACAAGGGAAGACTGTAATCTTGGGGAGTCGGGAGCTTTGTCTTCATGTCGGTCCTTCTTATTCTTAGCTTTTTTCCTTCCTTCTGTCTTTTCCTCCCTTTACTTTTTTAAGGACAGTATCTCACTTCGTACCCTGTGCTACCCACACTGGCCTCAACTTGGCAGCAATCCTCCTGCTTCTGCCTCCCAGAGTGCTGGGCTCACAGGTGTGTGCTACTCTACCAAGTCTGTGTTTCTTTAAAGTTATGCATGCACACACACATGCTAGTGTGCATATGAGAAAGTTAGAAAAACTTGTGGAAAACTCCGCTGTGTGGTCCCAGGGGTGGAACAAAAGTTGGCTGTCTTGCATCCAATTGGTGAAGATTTTTGGAATACTTTTTATATCTGTGCCTGTGATTCTAACTTGGATATATAAGGAACAATTTTAATCATCAGAGGGTTTTTTCTTTTCTTTTCTTTTCTTTTTTTTTTTTTTGGCGTTTGATTCTTGGTGTTTCAAGACAGTGTAGTATCTCTGTGTAGCCCTGGCTGCCCTGGAACTTACTCTGTAAACCAGGCTAGCCTCGAACTCAGAGATCCGCCTGCTTCTGCCTCCTGAGTGCTGGGAATAAAGAAAGGCATGTGCCACCACCGCCCAGCTTAATCCTCAGTTTTAAAAGTTTTTCAGTATCTTTCTTTATCAAATAGTGAGCTTTCTTTATTTGTACCAAACTTCAGTTTTGTAAAATAGTGCTTGACAAGAACAAAATGTTGATAACAGGGTTTATTTTTATCCAAAGATCTTCAGACTGGTATTTTGAGGATATTTACCAATCTGTACACAATGCTTTTGATAGTGGCCTGAAGGTAGCAAGGAACCAGAATGTCAGTTAAGGTCTCACAGCAGCACCAGTTAGTCACACTTGCTGAACGTGAGTCTTGGATGCATCTGTGCTATTGAAAATCTGCTGGGGAGGAAGTACAGGAATAAAGCCGTGACGGAATGGCTCAGAAAGGGTTAGGCTGGGGTGTTCATGGAAGCGCTCACCTAGTGAGCAGAAGCCAGTACCTCTGTCTCCGTGTACATGGGTGCTGAGGTGGGCTGGCCTGTAGACCCTGTAAAAATGCTTATCGTTGTTGGGGTCTGGCATCAGGACGCTCTTTTTCTGCCTCTTTATGTCTTCAAAGTGTCAAAACTAAAAGATGAAGAGCCACTGATGTAGTGTGTGTCCATAGTCACCTCTATTACAGACTCACTGCTAGGGCCTTGTAAGAGGGAATCTCTCAGAAATGAGGCCACGAGTGTTGAATGAAATGCCAAAGGTAGAAGAACTAACATTTATGACTTCATCAATTCTGTAAGTTTGGAACCTTGCTTTTGGATGAATACTTTTTCAGCTAGTAGTTTTAAAGTTTTGGTTATGCTAATTAGTAAGTCTAATAGTATAGATGTATAATGAGTAAGAGACGTTCTTCTTGAATACTGCCTAGCCCAGAAGTGTCATTATTAGTTTAAAACATACATGTGTATATTTCTTTCTTTTTAAAGTTTATTTATGTATTTACTATATATACAGTGTTCTGCCTGCATTGCCTACACACTAGAAAAGGGCATCAAACTCATTATAGATGGTTGTGAGCCTCCATGTGATTGCTATGAATTGAACTCAGTACCTCTGAAAGATCAGCCAGTGCTCTTAACCTCTGATCCATCTCTCTAGGCCCCACACGTCTGTATTTCTAAATATGTACCTGCTTCTTTTTTTTTTTTTTAAAAAAAACTAGCCTGATGTCAGGCATAGTGGTACACACAGGAGGTTGAGGTAGGCATATCTCTAATTTCAAGGCCAGTCTGGTTTACTTTAGTGAATTCCAGGACTACACAGAGAAACTCTGCCTTGTGGAGACACTCCATACACTCACGCACGCACACATTCACACACCATAATATAACAGTTTAATTTTAAACATTTGAGCTTTTAATTTTCTCTATGTCCCAAAGTTCATCTTTAATATTTAACTTCTATAGGAGGATTCAGGCATGGAGTTTCTGAATTGAAGTTCTGTGCTTTAGATTTTTCTATCCTGCTTCTTCTAAATTCACACACACACACACACACACACACACACACACACACATACACACAAATATAATATCTTAGAGTTTCTATTGCAGTGATGAAACACCATGATCAAAAAATCAAGTCGGGGAAGAAAAGGTTTCCTTGGCTTACACGTCCACATCACTGTTCATCGTTGAAGGATGTTGGCACAGGAACTCACACAGGGCAGGAACCTAGAGTCAGGAGCTGAAGCAGAGGCCGAGGAGGGGAGCTGCTGACTGGCTTGCTGCTCTTGACTTCATCAGCCTGCTTTCTGATAGCACTCTGGACCCCCAGCCCAGGGATGTCCCCACCCACATTGGGCTGGGCCCTCTCCCATCAATCACTAGGAAAACACACTACAGCCAGATTTTATAACAAATAATATATATAGTTTATATGGTTGTATATAATCTTTATGTATATGTGCACAGAGTTACCGGTGGTTGTGAGCCACCTGATGTGGGCACTGAGAGCCAAACTTTTGAGTCCTCTGGAAGAAAACCACACTCTTCACTGTAGAGCCATCTCTTTAGCCCTAAGTTAACTCAATGTGTTTATTAATTTACATTTCCCTAATTCTAGTGGGATTACCTACAGAAACACATAAACTTACCGAAACATGGAGTGTGTCGCACGAATAATAAAAACCCAGAGACAGATACTAGGACTCAACCTGAAGGTCAGAAAAGCAAAGTAGCCAGCCACTGGCTCTTACCTTGACCTTAGTCAGAAGTGATTATCCTGCCTCTAGGAATCTCAGAATGAGACTGTGTCTGAGAGCTGTCTCCTCCCATCTTATATTCCTCTCTAATGCTGGGATTAGAGGTGTGGTCACCACTGCCTGCTCTGTCAGGCTGACCAGTGCAGCTGTTTTACTCTCTGACCTTCAGGAAAGCTCTATTTATTTATTGAAATACAATTGAAATATCACTAGAGTTCATAGCAACATCCAATCTTCTAAAATACAAAAATACAAATAAAATATCAGTACAACTGGATATGTACTCTCATGCTGTCGAAGCCCTGGGCTGGGTTTGATCCTTGCGGCCTTTACACAAGCAAGGTAAACGTTCTATCACGGAGCTGTCAGCCTGGGATCAAAATTTAAAAACAAAATACTTGGACCACAGAGCTTTCTCAGCATTTGCCACCAAGACCAGCGAGTAGAACCCACCTGGTAAAAGGATATGCACACGTGAACTCTGGCATGTCCTCCCCCCCCAATAAAGATAATTTGAATTTTTTAAAAAAATAATCCTAACACCCTGAAAGGTTGAAGCATATGAACTACCTTGAGTTTTAGATTAGGTTAGCATGGCTACAGAGACCCTATTTCAAAAGACAAAAAAAGTACTTTAGATACAGTGTTAACTATTACCCTGGTTTTTTTTATTATTTATTTATTTATTATGTATACAATATTCTGTCTGTGTGTATGCCTGCAGGCCAGAAGAGGGCGCCAGACCCCATTACAGATGGTTGTAAGCCACCATGTGGTTGCTGGGAATCGAACCCAGGACCTTTGGAAGAGCAGGCAATGCTCTTAACCTCTGAGCCATCTCTCCAGCCCTATTACCCTGTTTTGACAAGTAGGCATGAGACAGTTGAAACAATTGAGTAAGAGTGTGATCATGTCTTCTCATTTCTTTTTTTTTTAAATATTTTTATGGTTTATTTGACTTTATTTTATGTGCATTGGTGTGAATGTGTCAGATCCCCTGCAACTGGATCTTCAGATAGTTGTGAGCTGTCATGTGGGTGCCGGGATTGAACCCAGGTCCTTGGGAAGAGCAGTCATTGTTCTTAACCACTGAGCCATCTCTCTAGCCCCTTCTCATTTCTTTTGTGTACCAAATACGTGTATTTAAATTGGTACATAAATTTTGTGTAAGTTTGCACTATTAAAGGAAAACCTTGTCATGTGTTGTTTGAATGGATTTTTGGCCTGTCATGGCTGGAAGGCACGGGTTGTTCCTGCCCTCAGTCTCTAGCGCTTAACTCCTCTGCCCTCCTTTCTGTGATGGTCCCTGCGCCTGAGGAGAGGGATGTCGTAGAGTTGTCCCCTCTGGAGTCGCACACTCCACCCTGCATCTCTGCCTACTGTGAATGTCTAGGTTCACCTCTGTCCTCTTCTGAGAAGGAAGGGTCCTATGGCTCGTGCTCTTGGCTCCCCTTGCACAGAGGGAGCCATGGTGTCGACCACTGTTCTGTCTTCACAGCCGTGGTGAGGTAATGTTTTCCTCCTTTCCTCTGCGCCCGTCCTTCTCCCGGTCCCTTTCCCTGCTTTTATGTGGCCCCCGACTCACTGGGGGAAGCACCTTGAGTTCAGTGCGATCCTGACGTCTCGTTTGGTGC